AGTTGGGTTTGGTGCACTATTACTTTTATGTATGATACATGCAAATCACCCTCGAGATTTGTTAGTTCATTTTATTTCTATCAGTACGTGTTTTGTATGGTTTTGTTTTTTATTTTACTCATTTCATACTAAGGAATTATAGAAGTACAACTTGTGAATGAATGTGTTCAGTTAATAATTCCAATCAATCAACTGTTGAGGTTTAGTTACCAATAGAAGAATCTATGGCTGGTGAAAAATGAAAAAAAAAATATAATAATTCTTAGTTAGTCGCTGAGGTTTTATAATTCAAATTGTGGTTGGAAGTTTGTACTTGTGTGCACCTGAAAACTATTAACTGCAGTAAACTTGTATTTTTCGAGATCAAATTAAAAAATAACCTTTTCTTGTATGTTAACTCAAGATGACGTTCTGATGAACTTGCGTGCACCTGAAAAGTATAAACTGCAGCGAACATGACGTTCTGATGTGAAGGAAAAAACAGTCATTTGTTGCTCAAGTTATATACTAGAATTATAAACAAATAAAGGTATATAAGGGAAACTTAAGTTAAACTGCTTTGTGACGATATATAAACGTAGTCATAATAATTTATGTCATAAGGATGATGTTTAATTAACTATGGTTCAGAAAACCAAATACAACACCATTTCAACTTTTTTGTTGGCTTCAACTGTGTTTTATCAAGCAAAAAGTAGACACGAATAACATTATCTATTTGATTAAGTTAGAGAACATCAATTGGTAACACCTATAACTAAGAAAAAGGTAAAACTGCACACTTACAAAAAATAAAAATAAAGCAAACTTTTAATAAAACTAAACAATTACAAAGTGATATGTTTTTACAATCATAAAGTCGGAAAATATGTCCCACAAGAAGCTCTTATCATTCGATGAAGCATATTACATAAGATAGAGAGATCACCATTTATTTTGGTTCAGGTAAATGAATATCAATGGCCGGAAAATCACTAATCAGAGATTCAAGTTGTCCACGATAATTTCTCAGTTGAGAGCCATGGGAAGGATGCTCTTGCAAACCTACTGTGTGATGGCTAGCTTCTGAGCCTTCACTATGTTCCAAAGCTTCTTGTGCTTTGATTTCTTCACCAAACAATCCAAGGGCATCTGGTGTTGACAAAGAATGCACAGATTCATACAGCCCTTGGAATTCGTTCCTCTTTTCTTGTGTTGGAATCAACCTCTCTTTTAATTGGAGTGGAAGATGAGAAAAAGCACTTCACAAGAAGCAAGTCGCCAAAAATAATTAATTTTAAAATACAATTAGTGAAACAGTCACAGTGCTAAAAGTAAAATAAACTGAATGTATTCCCTCTGAGAGTACCTGGTAACACCTCTTACAACACCCCAACTGTAACCATCAAAAACCGATTGCTTAAAACCAATATTGAACCCCTCTTGAGCAGAAGCTTCCTTCCCAGCTATAAGACCATCTCGATACCCAATCTAAAATACGATGGAGGATTGAAAATGCATAGTTAGATAATCACAATATAAAAGTGTAGAATTGGAAACAAAACTAAGAAAAAGTAATTCCACAATGCCAAAACAAACACCGTATGGAATTGGTCATGCCTCCTCTGCCACTCCCTGTCCAAATCCAACGAACTATCCAACTTGTCATCAGAATCATCCCAGAAACTCAAATCATCATCACCACCACGATCTAAAACCATAGTGAGAAATTAAAAGCCTTAACTAAAGCAAGAGACTGAAAAACAACAACGATAGATGCATTCATTCCAAATCAAATCACTCACACTACATCTTACCGTTTAACTTATCTTTATCATCAACAGCACTGGTGGATGTGAGTTCTAATTTGGACAGTTCTAAACTTTCGGCATAAAATTCTTCAGCAAACCGACCCTCCATCTGCAGTGCACACAGACTTTAAGAGAAATTACATCAATAAAACAAAGAAAAAGCTAAACAGACAATAAGAACAAATACTCAACAATAGGCGTCAACGTGAAATGAAGGACGAAGAGAAACGACGAATAACGTTTTCACCGTTTGCTCGCTGCTCTGTGAAAGAAGAACAATGCTGGATTTGAGGGAGGATGTTTTTTTTATGGATTATTAGGACTATTAGAAAAGGCCCAATTAGTTAGGGGCTTCTTCCTGCAGCCCATGTTTTTCTTCCTACACTCCCAAACCTTTCCCCTTTTTCAATTTTACCCCTCAGTAATCCTCTGCGGAATTTTTCCTTTTTCTTTAAGTAAAATGGGAAAGAATGAAAATTTTGGGAGTATAAGAAAAAAAAGGTGGGGTGCAGGAATGGAGTTTGAAGAAATTAAGCCCATTTATTGTTATTGGGCTTTTTCGTGAAAGACAGCGGAGAGTAGGTTTGTGTCGCGTAGGGATTGGGTGTTACCTGTTAGAGCTTACCTGTCTCCTAAGCAATCGCAGGTTGGGTTGTTATTCTTAGCATGACCGTTACGTTATAAAAACTAACTCCTAAACTCACTTTCCACACTAAAATTATTCCAACATGAATCGGAATCTTATCTTCGCTGGTCTGTTCTCCGTCGTCGTTCTTGTGGCGGCTGCCTCTTCGGATGTCGGCGAGGACCCTCTGATCCGCCAGGTGGTGGGCGGCGTCCGGCTCGGAGCAGAAGAGCACTTTTTGGAGTTCAAGCGTAGGTTCGGAAAGGCGTACGCTACCGGGGAAGAGCACGATTACAGGTTCACTGTGTTCAAGGCTAACTTGCGCCGTGCTCGGCGCCACCAGAGCCTGGATCCTTCCGCGGTTCACGGCGTGACTCAGTTCTCCGACCTTACGCCGACGGAGTTCCGAAATAAGGTTTTGGGCCTGCGAGGTGTGAGGTTGCCCTCCGATGCGGAAAAAGCTCCCATTCTCCCCACCGATAATCTTCCGAGTGATTTTGATTGGAGAGATAACGGTGCAGTTACCGCTGTCAAGAATCAGGTGCCAATAGTACTAATCATGATGATATGATTTGTGAATGTTTGTTTTAGAATAATTGATTTCGATTGGTTGGTGAATTAGGGTTCATGCGGTTCGTGTTGGAGCTTCAGCGCTACTGGGGCTCTGGAAGGGGCTCACTTTCTGGCAACAGGGGAACTTGTGAGTCTTAGTGAGCAGCAGCTTGTTGATTGTGATCACGAGGTTTTTTTCCTTTCTTTCTTTCGCCCTTTATCTTCTTGCTAACGACCTTTAACTCATTGTTTGTTCGTGCAATTTTTTATGTAGTCTTATTATTGCTTGATATTGTGTAACTTTTGTCTTGGTTTAAGACACTTCATGTCCTCTAGTTAGGAAACTAACTGTTCTGGAAAAATGATAAACTTTTAGGACATGAAGATCAAGCATGTGTGTTTTTACTAGGCCTGTGTCCTTTCAATTGTTCGTTCTTTTGGGGTTTATTATTGATCAGGACATGTCACTATATTGCGCTGAGTTTGGGAGGTGAAATTTTGTAATGGTTTGTTTAGAACGAGTGTCCTGAGATATAATTTGGCTTTACCATTTAAGGTGCTTTTTCTGAACTTAGTTCTTCTATGCTTATTGATGGAAAAATTTAGTTTGCCTTAATTCTTTTATGGCTGCCAATTAGAGAATATGATTTCGAAGGGTGATACTTTTAGAGGTAAAAATACTTTCATTCATATATGTTCAGACGTCAATGCAATAAATGCAGTCAATTTTCTAATGTATATCCTCCATCTTAAAAGGTGGTGAATCTAAAAAGGTCCATGTTAAGATCTTTTCATAGCAATATGCATACCATGAGTATGCTTTGCCCTATGTTTGGAACATTCAATTTTAGACGTGACTTTGAAACTGAATTAAATAATTTTATTAACACTCTTCAAAATAGTAAATGAGTGAAATAATTCTATTGAATCAAACACAGTGAGGGAGAAATATTATTAATTACTAATCATTTCCTTCTGATCTTCTCTAAGTTGGATCCATTTCAATGTGCAGTGTGATCCGGATGAAGCAGGTTCTTGCGACTCTGGGTGCAATGGTGGATTGATGAATAGTGCTTTTGAGTACATCCTAAAATCTGGTGGGGTGATGCGCGAGGAAGACTATCCTTATTCTGGTACTGATCGAGGGACCTGTAAATTTGACAAAGCAAAGATTGCAGCATCAGTGTCAAACTTCAGTGTGGTCTCACTTGATGAAGACCAGATTGCGGCAAATCTTGTGAAAAATGGTCCTCTTGCAGGTGAGAACTACTACTGCTGTTATTATAAACTACTATTACTATCCTCTTGCAGATGAGAACTACTAACGCTGATATGTTGTGACTTTAAATGGGCACAAAAACAGTTGCCATCAATGCAGTATTCATGCAGACATATATGCATGGAGTATCATGCCCATACATATGCTCAAAAAGGCTGAATCATGGAGTATTACTGGTGGGATATGGTTCTGGTTCCTATGCACCCATTCGGATGAAGGAGAAGCCATATTGGATCATCAAAAACTCCTGGGGAGAGAATTGGGGAGAAAATGGATACTACAAGATTTGTAGAGGCCGAAATATCTGTGGAGTAGATTCTATGGTTTCAACTGTGGCCGCAGTTCATACAACTACTCACTAGGACGACATAAACACACTGTTTGCCATGTATGATGACTTTTCTTCTCAACTATTTAGATTCAAACCTTAGGCATATTAGTGCCAAAGACCCCATGCCAAAAATTGATGACTTATACGTAATTCATTATTTAGTAGTAGAAAAAAATATATTTCGACATTTTCTATCTATAAAACACACACATTTGTTTTATTAATATAATAATATATATTAATAATTAATGTAAAAATAAAATATATAATTAAAATATTAATATTATTATTTTTGAACTGATTGGTTAATATTTTAGTAGCGTATTCCTGTTTTCTGATAAATATGATATTTTATATCATATTAACGTAATACTTATATTTGAATTATTTTAAATCGACATTAATAGAATAAATACGAGTTTCATGATATCAGTATTCCTTATATCTATTAATTGTTGTTAGTGATTTTTCTTTGAATTTTTTTTAGATCAAGTTAAGAAAAACATTAACAGAATATTCAAGAATTTTATTTTATAAATTTATGCTTTTTTATTAATACTTATAAAATTAAAGTTATAAAGAAAAATATTCAATTCCTATTGGAGAGCAATGATTAATTCTTTTATTCCATTTTTCTTTAAATTCGGAACCATAAATGATCAAAATCTACACAATTCCTAAAATTATCAAGAGTACAATTCCTATTTTTCTATCCATCCACCCTTTTACATTTTTTATTTTAATTAAAGAACTTTAAAAAATACAAAAATCAAACTGTATCAAAATTTTTACCATAGACTATGTTTAATACATCAAAAATATATTTATCCCTAAATTTTAAATTTTATGTATAATGTGTAGAGCTACTGAAATCCTTATATGAAAAAAAATCCATTCAATTTTGAGCTTGCTCTTAATTGCTAATTTATCTATCTAGTTTACATCTGCAGAATAGTAGGTGAGTTGATTACTTTACTGCTTATATTATTTCCGAGCGAATTCTTGCTGAACCAATGACTTCTAGTCTAATTTTTTTTTCATATATCCACCACCACCATAAAAAAAATTGACAAAAAGTTTCACTTACAATTAAATCCTTCTTTACAACTAATATATCGAGATTATTTTAAACATAAACCCTTAAAAAAGCATAATAAATAACACGAATCACAAAACTGTGTCCATAAGCAACTTCTTTACACTAATTTTTTAGAAAGATTATTGTATTTATATTAATAAATTATAACATAATTTCATTTAAACTATGCTCCAAAGTACCTTTTTTATCAATGTGACTTTACATTTTTAAAAATATAAAAATATTCACAAATTTGAAAATATAAAATAATTTAAAAACATTTTTCCAACAGAAAAGGACGACTTTTATAATTGACATGGACCAAAACAAGTCTTAACTGAAAAAGGGCATCCAAACTTACAAATTCATTTCAGATACTAGTAAATTAATTCCAATGTTTTATGCATATTAAGACATCGTATAAGACATTTTAAAATTAAAACACATAATAAATACATGAATATTAAGTGTATGTCGCAAGTATAATTATTATTACACATGGCCACCCTGCCTAGCTCAAGCGAAGTTACTCCCCTAATTGGGAATATTTATTCCCTCAATGGATAAATAAACAAAAGAGGACGTTTGATGAAAACCTTAAAGGATTCCACCGCATACAATGCTGCAGATAGTAATCACTGACTACTTACATCAAATAAAAGAATCAATACAGGTCCAAAGCTACATAACTACTCCTTATTAATGCGATTTTAGAGCATATCATTCCTCATCATCCAGTAAGGAGAACGAGAAAGGGTGGAACTTGTAACCATCGCCCTCGTAAAACTTGTTTTGAAACTCCACCCAGTGAAGTCGTAACGCATGCAAGAAGGCACTAAGTGTTTCCATGACAAGTAACACTCCGACTGTAGCGAAGATGAAAACAATGAGACCCACTATCAAGATTATCACATTATTGTACCTGTAACATCAGACAGAGAAATTACCAGTCATTCTCCGTTCAAATCATTGCTAAATTTAACGGGTAATACTGACCTATTCTAGAAAATAAAACATGAGCAACAAGAACCAGGCAAATTTAAGAAAGCATTCAATAAGCCTATTGCATAACATTTCCAATTATCCTTTGCTATTAAAAGCATAAAATTCAAAAATCAAACAGTTGCATTTTAACCGTAAGTTTCTAAGTTTCCACTTGTATAGGTCACGCTGAATAATTTCAATTGGTTTAGCGTTCACAACTCTTCCCTCCACTATCGACATCACGAGTCACAAAAAAGACGTAATATATTTATAATTTTAACATACCCCCATGCCATCAGCAGAACCTTCTCGTAGAATACACTTGATAATTCTGAATGAGCAAGACTGGATACAAAAAACGAAAAATCAGTCAATGCATAATTGCAATTTAATATATGCATGAAACATATCTATAGACAAACAGAAACAAAGGTAATGTACTGCTTGATGTGAGGTTCTAAACTTGCTTCTCTAGTGACACTCCAACATCTATTAGAATAGAATAATTGCGACATATTGACATACCTAAGGGCCCATAGACGGAGGTAAGAAGCCGTATTAGACACTGCTCCAAGCACAAATTCAATGGTATGTATAAGTTGATGTACAAAGACTTCACTGAACTCAAATTCCTCATGACCATGGGATTCGTGGTTTGACTCCGGTTGCAAGCTCTCGTCTGTGCTTTCAAGTGGTGTATAGGATTCAGCCCCGTGCCTCTGAAGTAGCATAAATATTACAAGTTAGAACTACAAATATAATAGTTCCATGTAAACAAGGAGGAACCTTTAAGTACTAAAAAAAGCATACAGCTTCATGTTGCTTCTTTAAGATAAAAGGTTTTGGCAACAGCATCCAGGGGACAGAGATAAATGCCAGAAGCAAAAGCACAAGCTGGTAAAAAATAAAACAAAGAACGTAAGTACTATTCATATAGAAGTACATTCTTAAGATTTACAAAGATGCCCGAGGGAGTGTTGGAAGTTAACCAACCTGCAAATTCTTCTGACCAACAAAGAGTTGGTTCTCACCCAAATCATCAGTCGGGCTAAGGAACATGTAGATCAAAATATGGTACAAATCAGCTTGAGAACCAGTACACCACTTCACAATAATAAGAAGGGCTAGATAGCCAAATAGACTGTTGAGAAATATCATCTGGGGAATGAACTGGAACCTGAGAGTGAAACATTGAAGTAAAAGAATACTGCATCAATACTAATGAGTGAGAAAGTGTACTGATAGAATCAGTGAATTGATTACAGAAGCAAAAAACTGCAAAGTAACTGTTTTCTATCCCCCACCCAACTTGTATTCTCTAGAATAAGATTTCTCCATAACAAATATTGGTGATTAACTTACCACACATTCACCCTGTTTCTAAAGAATATGGCATTGCAATAGCTCATCACAATTCCAAGGTTCATTTGAGCAACTCCAAGAAGAATTGACATTTTCATTTTCAATGAGTTCAGAAATGGTAGTTCACTTCGTGTTCCATGCCATACAGGATCAACTCCGAAAGGATAAGAGTCCCGCACTTTTATCAAGCCCACTGTTGTAGCATCCCTGCATCAGAAAGATCGCATTAAAAAAACAGAGATGGTGGCTTAATTTTTAGAAGCATAAAGCACAATATTACAATGTTACCAGTCAAAAGGTTTGATTTACCTGCAAGAGAGGTCACGACAATCATAAGCAGAGGGGGCAAAGAGTGCAAATGGAACAGAAAAGAACTCGTTATAGATAAAGCCAGTGTAGATTGAGAACAGCGCCATCAGCAAAATAACATAACGACCTCCAAAAGTCATCTCCGTGATGTCATCAAGCTTCTGTTTTTTACACCAAGATTCCGTGTTAGAAGACAGATTGAAAACATGCAAATACTTAAAATATAAGAGGAACAGTGAAAATTTAGGAGTAGTTTGATTTGGTAAATTACTTTTTATTTTTACATTTTAATTATAAAAGCATCACTTTTTTTCACTTCAAAGATTTGTATAGGGAACAGTGAAAACAATTTCATTTCTGCAGAAAACAGCAGAAATTATTTTCATTCTTTCCTCTACAAACATTTGAAAATGGGAAATAAAGCATAAGTGGTACTTCTGAAACAGAATATTTTCTCAGACTAAAAGGTCACTTAATGTCAATCAGAAATGGATTTCACCAATTTTTCTTTAAAATGCTACTTATTATTTGGTTAATAGCAATAAATGAAATGATAATAAAAAAGCTAGTTAGCTTGTTGGGAACGTCCTTTGCAACAATTCAAAGGGACCAAAAGCTGAATACCTAAATCCAACTTCATCATATAGGGAGAGGAGGACTGCCTCCAGCTCAAAATGGAACTATAATCTTTTACAGAAAAATAATCAGTGACCTGAATTATTTAAAGTACTCTTGGCACTCTCAAAAAAATCCATGCCCCAATAAGTTTGCAGCAGGAAAACAGTTACTGGAACTCCTAAAACAATTAAGGTCTACGAAGGAACAGTTTTGCACAGATACCTAAACCTATAGACTGCGGCAGATCTTCGTTGATACATAAGGACTCTAACCTAGATAAAACGTCAGCATTAGCCACCAGCTATGAACCCCAAAACGCTCTTAAAGTCTTAACATGGCAAGGTAATGGTATTGGACTTATATCAAATATTAACAAGAGTACAATAAGTCTAGTTCAATACCAAGAAAGTATAGTTCAATTTTTCTTTTTTTAACATTTGAAATATTCAAATATGGCACCAATACTTTGAATAAAACTAGAATTACAGAAGGATCTAGTTTTTCCTCAGAGTATTGCATCTTTATCATATCAAATATCCAAGTTTCACAGATTCCCAGGAAGGTGATGCATAGATATTTTCTAATAAGGTGGAGAAGCTACTTAATTTCTCCTATTAAAATATAAAATCTAGCCTTTTTCACTTTTCTTAAAGGAAGGTTCTTCAAGCTAAACCAAAGGGTTACCTGACTAGATAGTTTCTTCTCCCTGATTATGAAATATAGAGCTGCAAGTAGTAAACATATTCCATGTCCCCAATCGCCAAACATAACAGCAAAAAGAAACGGAAAGGTAACTACAGTATACACGGTCGGATTTGCCTCCTGATACTTAGCAACCCTGAAATATTAGTATAAAGTTCATAGTATGAGATTAATATCAATACATCGAAGTTCATTGCAATAAAATGCTGGACAAATACATAGTGGAGCCAAGATACACCTTCAACCATGTCTAAACGAGATGTAAAATTGATAGTTATATTTAATACATGAAATGAATATTTCAATGTAAACAAACTCATTTATAAGTCAGATTTTTAAGGGTGGACCATAGTACTGAACCATAAATCGGAGATGGTATACTTGTAATAATAATAAAACATACATACATACATACATATATACATACACACATATATACATAAAAATAAGTCAACATTGGTAGAGCTAGTGTAAGGGTCCACTTCTTAAAAGAGCACAACAAATATTTCATAGATGGGAAACATGACTCATCTAATCATATTGGTGACGACCTGCAACTATAAACAGTATTATTTTGGCATGTATAAACACATGACCATGAACATAATATGAATGATGCTGTCAAAAGAATTATTGACGAAATCTGCTGGTCATTAAAACCAACCTTAATTGGCAAAATATCTGGTCATCAAAACCAGCTGGACATTTAAAGTCACCAAAGTCTATGCGATTGTAATTGTAATTTTGTATTGTAACTATTATTCTCTTTTATTCGGATACCCAGCTGTAGAATAAATATATATGGCAGTTTAGCTAATTTATAGGGTAGAGTATCAGTCTGTATAAAACAATATATATATATATATATATATATATATATGTGTGTGTGTGTGTGTGTGTGTGTGAGAGAGAGAGAGAGAGAGAGAGAGAGAGAATTCTCCAGCACGAGAACACACAATTTTCCCTGCACATTTCTGAAGTTTAACAGATGCACATATTATCAATAACTAAACTCCACACTACAAAGGGATAAGAAAAAAGGAAAGGGCGGGAGGAGAAAACAGTATGGTCCTCACCCATATGAATCAATGATTCCTTGAAAAGAAGAAGTAAATTTATTTGTGCGGAAAAAGGTAGGCGGCAACTCCCTGGTATGCAGAACTTGAAAAATGGCATTGACTTGAGAATTAGAGTCCAATGCTGCCCGCTGTAATGCATCCTGGATCTGAAAATTCAAGGTAACAAGTCTCATAAAATCAATATCACAAAAAACCACAAAGGAATTAACTCTGGTTAGGTAAAATGAAAACTCAATACAAAATAAAGCATCACAATAACGACAAATACCTGCTTATTTGCAAAGATGGGACTCCACCCCTCAGCCACAAGACATTTTTTCGTCACATCAAGGCTCAGCATGTTCAGGGTATGATGAATAGATTTCTCCTTCCTCACCTTCATGAATGTATTGTCAAGAGAAATTAAACAGTAATGTCAACAACAACAAAAATCAGAAAAGTAAATTGAATACTTGAGAATTAAAATTTATAACCAATCAAATCAAAAGAATGATAAAGTAAAGTAGGTGATAGGCATATAAATTTAATTCATCACATGAATAATAAAGAACATTGTTAATTTTTATTTTTGACATACCAGAACATCCCATTGCTCAAATTGAACCCCAATAGTATTTAGCAAGTGATCCCGGTGATGTAGTCCAGCATCTATAGTGGTCTTCAATTCCAAAAGTCTTCCAGAAACCTGCAGGTGAATTTTTTGAACAGTTGGGGGAGAAAGCCATAAACTATAATGCATTGAGCAAACATATAAAGGATGAAGGATCATCAAAATAAGACAAAATAAAAGTAACTTGGCTAGATATATGTTGTTGACACATGGAAAGGAACGATTAGGCCTAGGCCTAGCAACTATAATGATTTATTCTATCATTCCATAAATTCTTTCTCCAGCAAGAATTATTTATCGACCACGTATGCAACTACAAAGGAAGAATATCTAAGTTCATCAATTAATAACTGACTGCTGACTAATCAGCGTTTTCAAATAACATGGCTTGTGTAACATCAGAATCAGTAATAGTACACCATATCTCCCACACCCACAATTAAAATGTAAAGAGAGGCTTGTCAGTACTCCACCTAGGAATTTACAATCCAATTGTTTCTGGCAATCAATTCACATGTACTACATTAAACAGTGTGGCAGCCAAAAACTTGGGCTGACACACGGAAAGTTCAGAAGATTTTCCTGGGGAAAATTGAGAACCAATACCAACCTCTGTGATCATTTGTGCTTGTTTTCCAAGTTCCTCAGCAAAAGGGTAACGATTAGCACCAAAGGCTTCACATATTTTGAGAATCTTGGCTTTTGCTTTTTCTCCAGCATAGAAGATCACAAAAACATTTTTCTCAGTCTGCAGGTGAACATCCATAAGTCACCATAGAATAGAATATTAAACAATACGCACACACAAATATATATATGACAACAGAGAGAAACTTATTTAAGCAAAAAATGAAGAATCTTAATTATTATAGGTTCACTAGCAATCATAGATCTATAGGCAACAGCAGATACATGTATTAATTAAAAGCATAATACAAAATAGAAGGTAGCCAATCTTACTAAAAAACAGAAGACTATAGAGCTTACGACTCAATAATTGCTTCTGTTTTCTAAATTTTCTAATCACAACAAGCCAACATGCACAAACAATATTGAGTATTAACATAACGAAATATAATTAGAAAACCCAAGATACAGTACAACTAAAGAGGCTAATCTTATATTCACATTATGAAAAGTCATCATTCAGAGAGGAATCTGTCAATACATCTCTGATGGCATGGCAAGCTGCAATA